CAGACCTACTGGACTTTGTCTCAAGGACTTGTCAACCATCCTGCTTCTCAGTTGTTGGCTGGGTGTGCCACTGTCTGAATACCCTAACAATGACTGCAGCTGCATTCACTATTCATCCGATAATTGAAACATGTCAGGCAAAAGGCTGCCAACAGGGCCACCCACTGAGCAGATTTTGGCCGGTTTATTAAAAATTGGTTGAAATTCACTCAGTGTATGGCCAGCTTTACAATCTATAATAACTATTTGGTCAGACGCAACCTGTTATGGCAGATGCTAAACACTGTGTGGGCGAAAAACATCCTGAGTTAACCCCGTTGTATGGTGTCACAAGACTGTATGCATCTTTGACTCATCATTGAACTCCAGTGGAACCAACTATGTAAATTGTAGATCCAATGGTTTTCCCATTGGCACACCATTTTATGTCTGCTACCAACATCTGTTATGGCTTCAATTCCAAAAAGCCTCAAACCCTCCTGACTGCCCCAAAGTCTTTCTGTAACTTTTCTGGGAACTGAATGGTTGTTGATACAATTTAGTATGTTTCCCAAAGCAAACTCTGAGGGAGTGAGATGTCTGACCTGCATATAACATTCCACATAGGCAGAGCAACCCATAGACTACAAATTGGGTCCTGCAATTGCTAAATTGTTCGATAGTATGTGTGCTGCCATCTGACCCTACCACAACCTTTTTTTAGTGCCACATGAATTAAGACACCCCCACAGTTCTGCACTCTACATCTGTAGCTCTGCATTTGGTTCAGGCCCAAAGCCGATAGCCTGAACCATTGTCCTCCATTTGAGTCTCCCATAGCTCCATCAGGAATGGCTGTTACAGCTGACCTTGTACCTGAGGAGCTTCACTCCCAAGCTATTTCAGGATACCAGTTTCACTCATCAATCCTATGTCAGTAACTAGTATTTTCTACTAAAAAAACTTTCTCGGTACACTCATTTAACTTGTTTTATATATAGACTGGGACACTCCTGATAAATGTGCTACTCCCATGTGGTTTGTAGACCAATTTTTCATTTTTCTTAAAAAGTAAGATCTTCCCACTGTAGGTCCAACAATATCTGACCTTAACAAAACATTGACTGTACCTATTGAAGATACTCCAGTGTTTAAAGATCCCATGGATAAACCTTTTCCAAATCTTTTGTTTTGATAGCAGGCCCTGCTATGCAGCCTACTATAGCTGTAATATAGGTCGATAATACCTTAGGGGAATGGACTCCACCTACATTCCTTACTAAGCAATTTGTTGTAGATTGCTTCACGCTTTTTGCCCTCCGTCCTACATTATTGTGGTAATGGTTTCTCTGATATCCGTTTTATCTCCTGAATTAGTCTTTTGTCTGTCAACATTTTTGGATCTCTGTGGCTAATATGTTAATTTATGGAACAGCTATGTAAAAAACACTTGTTATGCATGCCTTTTGATTGTGAACTTCTTTTTGGGGCTTCCCTGGATAATTTTTTAAGGACATCACCACTGATAAGAATGCTCATTTACCCCAGCAGAAGAAGCCTAAGCCTCAAACTGGAAAATCTACTTCAGAAGCCAAAATAGACTCCATAACTAAGCGCAAGGGAGCCCAATACAGAACAGGAAGCCCTGGGCCACCAAGTACTCCAAATCTGCAGACAAGTCCTCTTCAAGATGAAGGGATTCCCTTGCTTTTCAAAATGGGGATGTCTATTTGCCTGTGTAGTAGGGATGCAGCGATATATCGGCTGCCAAAACATATGCGGAAATGGCACTTTTGGAATAATGCCAAAAGTGCAATTTTCTGGCCGATACAGTGTTGCATCCATTCTTTCTCTTCTCTGCTCTGTGTCCCAGCGGGGAGGAGGGAAACTGTCACAGGCAGCCTAGCGCTGTGGGGGGAGAGTGCTGTGAGCGGCTGGCGTCTCTCCTCTTCGCACCGCTCAGCCTCCTGTCACAGATTGGGAGAGCGGTGTGCGCATCAGCGTGTCAGGAAGGAAAGCGAGGTACAAACATGTTTGTAAATAATTGGGGACATAGCATGTTGACTATATCCTCAATTATGAATGAATGGGAAGTGATCTACATCACCTCCTGTTCATTCATAATTGTGGTTATAGTAAACATACTCTGTTCTCATGTTATGACTGAACAGGAACACTCATAGAGTATCCCTGTTACTTTATAACTGGGGCTGCAGAAAAAGAGATTGAGGACTTTGTGCCCTCAATCTCTTTTTCTATTTAAAAGGGAAATATCAGGGGTCTGTTTTAGACCCCTAATATTTTCCCCCTAAACCCCTAAAAGTAAGGTAAAAAATAAAAATATTTAATACAAATAAATATAAAAAAATTAAAACGTTTATAAAAAATAAAAATAAAATATTTTAAAAATTAGAAAAAGTTAAAAATTTTTAAAAAATCGGTTTCGTCCTGGCATTTTTTTTTCGGTTGTGAAATTTTTATTTCTGTGCACCTCTACTTTGTAGACAACTAGTTAGAAGGCATCTTGAATGACTGGGTTCCAGAGGCTACAAGCTAGTATTTTGCCTTCTGCCCCCCACCCCGCTTCATATTATCCAACCTACCTGGATCTCTGCAACACCTAGCAGACCTCCATCCTACTCTTGCAGACCTTTTGAACCAAAGAAAAAGTTTCATGGGTTCTACACTGACCTTTTCACAGTTTCATAACCAAAATGGGGCATTCACCCCATCCTGAATTTGAAGGCCTCAATTGCCTTTGTTCGCATTCCAAAGTTGCGCATGCAATTCACCAAATCTGTTATAGCCTTCCCCAGGGAGGCTTCCTAGCTTTAGTGGACATCAAGGATGCATGCTTGCATGTCCCTATATTCCCTGCATATCAGTGTTATCTACTTTTGGTGGTAGCCACACAACACTACCAGTTTGTATCCCTACCATTTGGCCTACCATCCGCACCTCATGTGTTCAGCAAGGTTCTGGCCCCAGTGCTAGTTTTTTTTGTGATCCCAGAGTATTCCCATTGTGAAATATCTGGAGGACCTCCTATTAAGCGAACAGTTAGTTCAAACGATGGGCGGTGATGTGGACAGTCCAGACCCTACTCAGTCTTGCTTGAATTCTGAACATTCAGAAATCAGCAATGGATCTAACACATTGTTTGGAATATCTAAGCCTAATCCTAGTTTTTCTTCTCCAAAAACAATTCTAACTTTCCACTCCCAGATTCTGAGTGTAGGAGCTATCCACCTCTACTGTTCTTCATGAGTGTTCTGGGCTTGATGTTATCCTTCAACATTCTGTTGATGTGGGACAAATCCATTCAGTCCTTAGACAATCCCACTCGCCTGACACCCAAAACCAGATTTTTTTTCTGCCTGGTGGCTCAGAAATACAGCTCTGGAGCTGGGAGAACCCTTCCTTCCCACTGTTTTGAAAGATCATAACATGCCAGCCTAACAGGCTGGAGAGGAGTCCTAGACACCTTGTCAGTGCATAGAACTTGTCCAACGGAGGAATTGCATCTCCCAATAAACATTCTGCAGCTATGGGTGATTTGGCTGTCCCTGCAGTGCTGGACAACTCGACTGGTGGGTCATCTAATTGGGATACATTTCGACAATGCTACGATTGCAGTGTACATCAATCACCAGAGAGAAGCAAGAAGTCATGTCATGACAAGAGAGGCAGCAAAAATACTAGCCTGGGCAGAGCTCTAAGTTCTGATTTTGTCTGCAGTTCACACTCCAGGTGTGGATAATTGGCAGGCAGAATACTTCAGCCAGCAACATCTGGACCCTGGGAGAATGGTTTCAACACCATTAGCCTGGAAATGGACCTCCTGGCCTCCAGGTTCAACACAAAACTGAGCAAGTTTTTCTCCAGATACATAGACCCCCTGGCAGAAGCAGTCGATCCATATAAAGAGGTAGAATTATATTTCTATCCCTTGAATAAAATCCCTCTTTTAATACACAATAGTATTCTACTCGCATTGTTAGCTGCAGCTTGGCATTGCCTGCTATTGCTGAGTCTGCGGTCCATAATTACCCTTAGATCTTTCTCTAGCTCCGATTTTCCCAGCGAAACCCCTCCCAAAGTGTAGTCTACTACTCCTTAGCCACTCCCCCCCGCTTCTGCTTACAACAGAGACAAGGGAAAGGATACATTCATTAGTTCCTGTTGAAAACAAGCTGCAGCAACAAAGCATAAAGTTACTCATCATTGTCACCCCCTCCTATTTTGTGTACATCTTCTTGATTCTGTCTCTGCACTGATGTGTATTACCCCCTTCACTTCCCTTATCCTGCACATCTTGTCTACTTTCAAAAAAGGGATAATTTCAGGAGTTTTTGTACTGTCCTGACATTTCTGCTTGATATATTTTATAACAGAATGCAAGGGAAACAGTTTTTTTTTTCAATTTTATTGGTCATTTTTCCATTATACAGTATAGTAAAACATTTATTAAATACCACCTTAAAAACTCTTTCAAAAACATTGTATGAAATTAATTTGGTTACAGTGTTGCATGGCAGTAATTCTCAATCAAACATTCACAGCACTGAAAAATGGCCTGGTAATAAAGGGGATTACCATGCTGGTACTGCAGTTTTTAAGGAACACAGGTGCCACCTAACACTGTTCTTGATCTACTACCATGTTCTGCCTTTCTGCAAAACAAGCATGGGGGGCGGGGGGGCAGGGTTTATAGCTGACTGGTCAGGGGCTTTTTTGTTTGCCAGTGTCCAAGTCCTTTTTGTAAGTGGCCGTAAAAAAAACTCAGTTGTCCCAGATTAACTTAATACCATGTCCCTTAATGAACTTCAAGAAACACATTTTATGGTAAGTTCAAAAGTCATGTTCTTTATATCTGTCTGGATTTCATAAATATATATGAGCACATGAACAAAAGCACCATAACAATTACCGGTGTGCCCCCCTTAAAAAAAAAAAAAATCTGACTGAAAACTAATATACAGTTCAAATTGAAAAATAAACTTTTAATTTCTTGATTTTAGATCAATACCTAATATTTGGTGCTGAAGAAGGTATTTACACCTTAAATTTGAATGAACTGCATGAAACCTCAGTGGAACAGGTATGCATATATGTCACATAGCCATAATGTTTTGTTCTGTCTTATAGATAAGAGATAATCATTTATTAAGTAAATCTGTCAGCTTGAGCCAGCTTTTGAACTCCTTCCCACCCTTCATTTGTACTTGAATGTCCGTCTGCTGGATTCCCTTAAGGTGCCCATACACCTTACGATTATCGGACAAAACTTTTCGTCCGATGATCGACCCGTCGTGCGATTTTCGTACGACGGCCCCATCCTGCCCCGATTATCGAAAGGTTCAATCAGCGGTAGTTTAAAAAAAACACCTGGACGACTTGCGGTAATTGACCGCAATTATTTTCGTTTGCGCATGAGTAGTGTTAATCGTACGACTTTTGACGGAAACGCCACCAACCATGCGAACATCGTATGATCGACCAAAGTTTTCAAACATGCTTGACCGTCAAAAGTCGTACGATTGTACAATATTATCGGTTGGACACTCTATTCACACGTTACGATTGTCGTACGAAAAGTCGATCGCGTACGATAATCGTAAGGTGTATGGGCACCTTTAGGCTGAATATACATTTATAAATGTCTTTCCCTTTTGAGAGCCAGCACTTAGTGCAGCTGTTGGCTCTCAGTCTTGTCTGTCACTGACAGCCCATGTCCCCACCCACCAGTCAGCATGGTTCCTGATCATGCGATCAGTAGGTCAGTTATGAAAAAAGGTTCTAGCAGCAGTTGGATCCCCTTTAGGCAGCAGTGTTTTTCTGCAGTGCCATATGTTTAATGCTGTTGTTATAGGATTGCAGTAATAAAAATAATAATTATTAAAACTGACAAAATGTTATATATTTGTATTTGCATTTTTTATGCATTTATCAACAGGGATTTATTTTAAAAATTTACCAAATAAAAGCCTTATATGTTCGTAAAAATAAGAATAATAACAATGATTTCGCTGTGCAAATTCGTTATTTACGAGTTAACTGACACACTTGACCTAGGCATCAAATGGTAAAAAACTAACCAATCATACTGCCATGGTCATCCAGACATGATGTTTTTAAAATTACATTCAACAGTTTTTGTGGTTTTCTATATACAGTATTACATGTATATGGAATTCTTCACCTATTGGCGGTCACACATTCCACCGCCGAAAAACTGGGCGGGATTACGTTAAAATGTGTGATCACGTCACCGGTCACACATTCTAACGTAGTCACAAACTGATAGAACGCAGGCCCTGTTTGTATCATTTAATCAGAGAAATAGATTATAATGGGGAACATTACAGTGTAATGTTCTCCATTATAATCCACTTTTCTAATGAAATGACAGCACACAACCCTCGCACCCAATTTCCGCTCCCCGCCGCTTGGACTCAACCAGCCAGGATCACAGCAGCCAGAAGGTGTCGGTGTGTGCACTACAGGGGGCGGGGCGTGTGACACACACACTTTTCCTCCCCCGCCGCCTGTTACTAGGGACGCGGCCAGGAGAGCAGGTGAGGCACAAGACCCGCCCCCTTACCGAGAAGCCTGTCAGCAGTGTGGGGCCCCCGTGTTCTAACACCATGACCCTGCACTGCCCCATATTCCACCGGGGGGGGGGGGGGCCCAGGACTGGACCCCCCTGGGCCCCCCCCCCCCCCCCCCCCCCCGGCGCGAGCACACACACTATACTGGCCCCCCCCCCCCCCCACAGCCTCGGGTGAATCGGCTGTATTTCCGCCCCTGCTTAGGGCTGGTTCATACCAGAGCATTGCGCTAAAGGCAAGGTACCTATGCATTTAGTGCACAATGTCGCACAGTACCATGCACCGCATGCTAAGTGCGCCGGTCTGTTGCCATGCAATCTGAATGACACCCAACGCACATCTCAGCAGGCCTGCGCTGTGCTTCCGCACAGTAAAAAAAAAAGAAGCATGCATCTTTTTTTCATGGCACCACAAGGCACGTTATTGCGGTACAGTGCATTCATACCCGCCGAGAGGTGCCTTGGAGTGCATTGCGCTGTGCGTAGCATGTGCTAAATGCACAGATAACACAATGTACTTGATGAAAAACTGGTGTGCATCCACCCTAAGAACTCTGAAACTAAATGTTTCAGTGTTAGATTCTATTCTGGACACTGCTCTGTATTTGACAATTCTAGGCTTATTTAGAGAGTAGATTAAGGTGGATCATCTTTACATTTTCATTTATATTTCAGCTTTTCCCAAGAAGATGTACATGGATGTATGTAATGAACAATTGTCTTCTTTCTATATCTGGTATGTTTTTTTTTTTGTTTCAAGTATATACCAATGTCTTCATTTTAATGTGATTTTGTACAATAAAATAGTATATTGATTATTTTCTGTGCCCAAGCTATATGTAGCTACCAAACATTCTGTGATCTTTAGAAATAATTTACTGGGAATTTTGACAGCTATTCACCCAAATGGAAATCTGTGAATAAGGGTAATAAGTATACAGTATATCACTTCATCACACACTTTTACTTATTCTAATTTTATTAATATTTTTCATTCAGATTTCTGTGGCAGGTCTTTTTCCCTGGCAGCTCCCTCTCTGGGCAATTAGGGGAATCCTGCCAGCGGCACAATTATAAAGTGTATTTTCACTTTTTTACTCAAATTTGAAAAAAAATATATATTTTTAGCTATTTCTTTGGAGGAGGCATGTGGACAGACTGCAAGCTACACTGAAACAAAATGTGAGTGAGCCTGTCCTCAAGACAAAAGAGGACAGACTGCATTTCCTCCTATTAACACCCGATCACCCATAATATTATGTCTACCTGACAAAAGGTATGCTGTGGTATCTGGCACCGAGTCGTCAGTAGCAGATCCTTTAAGTCCTGTAAGTTGAGAGGTGTGGCCTCCATGGATTGGAACATCCCACAAGAGCTGCCATTTTGCATTTGCTCTGACCCAGTCATCTAGCTATCACAATTTGGCCTTGTCAAAGTCACTCAAATCCTTAAAGGAGAACTATGAGGTGAGTGATTTTCACTCAACCTCATAGTTCGAGCCGACGTGTGACAATGAAACTGTCACACGTCGGCTCAATAGATCGGGAAGCAAGCGTACACATACCGTTGCTCGCTCACTTCTCGATCCTGTCCCTGCAGAGAGCCGTAACTGTCGCTCACGGCTCCCTGCAGGAGTTCCACCCCTCAGCGCTCCAATCCTCCAGCGTTGACTGGCGGAACGGACAGGGGAGGGGGCGGGTACAGCTGGCTCTGCCTCTAGATAGGCAGAGCCAACTGTCAATCACGCAGCTGGGTGGATCTCGACAGTAATGTCGGGATCTGTCCCGGCTGCGGCAGTCTCGGTATACAGCTCGCGATATACTGAGCATTGAGTCACGGGAGGACGCTAGTTTATGTCCTCCCGTGACCCTGAGGAGAACTATGGGGAAAAACACTTACCCCATAGTTCTCCTTTAAGCTTGAGCTTTTTTTCTGCTTCCAACACATCAACTTCGGGGACAAAATGTTCACTTACTGCCTAATATATCCCACCCACTTTTAGGTGAAATTGTAATGAGATAATCAGCGTTATTCACTTTACCTCTCAGTGGTCATAATGTTATGGCTGATTGGTGTACAATGCTTCTTGATCTTTAACCCTTTGTTAGGGCACAACGTTTTCAAATCTAGTTTGCAACACATAATGAGATCTACAAGCCTGCATTAAATTACAGAGAATTGAAAAACTGCAGTTTTAGCGTTTTTTAATATAAAATAGGTGTTATACCAATTTGGCTGCAAACGTGGAAATATGCTTTTAAGTGTGCACGGAACTCTGGGGAAGGTGTTTGTTGGTGTTTGTCCAAATATGGGCACCAAATGCTTGTAAGGAGGATCCCATTTTTAGACACCCTCCTCTTCAGTGGTTAAGGGCATACAGATTGCTATAAACATAACTTCATGCTTGTTGCCCCTTTTCTATGGGGATAACCACATAAGAGCCTGGTGTGCCATGTGGAGCACTCTGGGAATGTCGGTTTAAAGGATGACAGTAGCTAGAGGGGCATGGCAAAGCAATCCTCTTATCAATAAAGAATACTTCAAAATAGCTCAACAACGCTTACCAATATGCTTCAATCAAAACACAGTATATTTATTGAGGGTATAGATAAAAACTAAAACGATATCGCATATAAATTCAAGTCAAACATGCTAAAACCTTTTAAATTCATTCTTACACTTACCTTAGACTCAGTCTCCATATAACTAAAATTATTTAATAGCAGCTGTAATGAATTAGGACCAAGACTTTTTAAGCCTCAATAGATACTTTGTATAAGAATCCATTTCTGTGATTCTGCAATAGTCCGTTTTTTTAAGATTTGATAATAATTACAAAGTTGATAGAACTCCACAATAAACGCAGTCTATTTTAGTTTGTAGACCAGGGGCGCCCACAATTTTTCATTCGGAGATCTACTTTTCAAATTACTTGCTCAATGAGATCTACCAACGAAAACACCTGCATTCAGGGGGGGACGGATCATGGCGGTGCATTAAAGTCATTGGCACCGGAGCCACGCCCCTCACCCGCAGTGTGATCGCCCGCACCCGGAACGCAGGGACATTAATGCTGCATGCACTATTTTTGCAGATTGCACTGGACCGGAATGCAGGCAGGCGATTGCACTGAACGCAGGGAGTCGGCCGGTTTGCATTCCAGTGCGTTCTAGAGGCGTCAGCGTCCTGTCCACCCGCGGTGCTCATGCGGCAGAATGTGGCCGACGTTGCACACAGGGAGAGGTGTCCTGCCCCTTTCCGTCTGCGACGTCTAACACATTCAGCCGCACCAGCACCGCGGGAGTATAGCCGTAGCTAGCTCCTTTTGCACCCGAGGCAAGAAAAAAACGTGCCCCCCAACAGGGGTGTAGGCGTGTGACATCACCCAGTGCCCTGCCTCCAGGATTATTATTTTTTTATTTATTTCTTACTGTTGGGGGGAGAGGGGGGGCTCCGGGGAAATATAAGGGGTCTAAACAGCCCCCCTGATATTTTCCTTTTAAAATAGAAAAATAAATTGACACAAAGTCCTCCAATCTCTTTTTCTGCAACCTCTGTTCTAATGAATGGAAAGCACGGAGGCTTCCCATTCATTCATAAACTATTTACTATCATCCAGTTTCTGAATGGGGAGGAGCCTCTGTACAGAGTGTTACTCCCCATTGAGAAACTCAAGAATGAACAGGAAGTCATGTAAATCCTGTTCATTCATAACTGGGGCCACATGTGTCCCCAGTTATTTACAAACACTGGAGTGATCAGCTGATCGCTCCAGTGTTTGTCCTGCACAGAGGATTGGTACATATCACTGATATGTACCAATCCTCTGCCGCTCGGCCACGCACACAGGGGGGCTCAGTTTCTCCTCTGGATCTCCGCTGCTCTCCCGGGCAGAGGCAGCGGGGGGTCCGAGGAGAAGTGAGGAAAGCACTTCAGCCGCGGCGGGGGGGGTTGGGAGGAGGGGGCTTTCAGACGGAGCAGCTGTCACAGCAGCATGTGCGGTATGGATAGAGAGAGCTGCCAGCTGTCAGATCCAGGCCGAGCGGCTCTCGGTTCACTTCGTGCTGCTGCACCCCGCCACCGCCTGCAGCGCTTGGTTCACTTCTCCTCGGATCCCCGCTGCATACAGATGGGGAGAGCAGAAGCCCCGCGGCAGGACATCGCGATCGACCAGGGATTGCTTTGCGATCAACTGGTAGATCGCGATGGACCTAATGGGCACCCCTGTTGTAGACTCTATAAGGCTCTACAACAGTCACACATTTGGTGAAACTCCACGATAGACACAAAGTTGCTATAGCTAATTAAAGCTATTTATTTCTTTAAAAATTGTAACTTCCTATTATTCATGTTAGAAAGGTTTCCTATATCCAAGAAAGATCCAACCCCATTATTTAACAGAAACCTTCCATAGTGGTATCTACATTTACTTTTATGCAGTTTATTCTTCCCATTAACCATTTCAGGTTTCCAAAACCTTAATAGTGTCTGGATATCTTTCATGCAGTGTGTTAATTTCATTAAACCTTTCAGTTATCGAGAGAAGCTGTTCTTAATTGCACCTTTATCCATACATATTGTGTTTATAATATCTCAGAACATTAATATGGGTATCTCTCCGTGTATTTATTTATCCATCAAGTTATTTTCACACATTTTAGTCTTAAAATAACACAAAACTTAACCTTTATTTTTAGATCCCTTAACATTATCCTGCTTTCATTCCTATTTTTAGATTTAAATCTTACATTTCATTTCAAAAACGTCTGGGAACGCTCCCAATGGTCCTCTGTTCTTCCTTCACTTACAGCCACTCTTCCCAGCAGTTCACAAGCTTCCTGTGAGAGCACGCTGCTCTCCCGACTACATTTCCCTCTAATCACTGTGTGCACAGCTCCCACTCCGTCTATGCACAGAGTCCTGCCAGCTGAATACAACTCCCTCTGCCCCCTCCCATCACTAAGTGTCACTTGCTGACACAGAGCTACCTCTTTTCAATATCTTTCTCTTCTTCTGTGACAAGCTGGGCTGCTCGTATGTCATTGCTGGGCTCTCATCTCCCCTTCTGCTTCTGTGTCCGGCTATCTTCCCTCTCCACAGAGCCAGGAGATTACACTGTCTCCAGGCTATTAGAAAAACGCTGTCAGATGTTTGTAGGCCCAAAGGCTGTGCCATAAAAAGAGACACACACACCCCACCCACACTGTAGCTGGGAGGGAGGAGACAGTAGTCAGCAGAGAAGCCGTCTAGTTGTAGTTCACAGAGGGTGGCTACTTTTCAGCACCCATAGGGACCATGGAGAAGAAAAGTAGCCACCCTCTGGCAGGAAGTTATACGTAGAGCATTTTTTGAAACTATTGAAGGCAAATTCTAAAAACCAGAGTAAGCTCATTATGAAATTACTATATGTCAGATCTTATTTTTAAAATGAAAATTTTGGGTTTAAAGTGGGACTACAACCTCACATCTCTTATAGCCAAGGAAGGTGCCATCTTAGCCTCTATTTGGATTGCTGTTGCCATGGTGTTGCACATGTGATCAGCTAGGACACCAGCCATTTGAGGGCTTGAAAGTTAGTTGAAAGCTAAAATAAGCACACTGGCAACCTTGACTGTTGGCATGCCTTAAGTAACTGTTTTGGGAGACATTAAATTGGTGGGTTAAAAAATATTTCTCTATCATCCATTGAGGGACACAGCTAGATGATAATTAAGTGACCTAGGTTTATACTGCCTC